AAATGGAAGGATTGAGTAGGCATTAAAGAGGTGCCGTGAGGGGCTCAGTAACTAATTGGGTTATGGGGCATGATGGAGAAGGGAATCCCGGGATGACACTTGGGTTTATAGCTGCAGTAACCCTTGGGCCGCTGGCGGTGTGGCCCTGGGCCTGCAGGAGGACAGGCTGGGTTGGGGGCTCAGGGTGAGCCCATTTTGAACATGCAGAGTTTGAGGACCTCGGGAACATGAGAGTGGAGGGGTGTCCAGGAAACTGCTAAGCAAGCCATGGGTCTAGAGGTCTGGATTGGGAGCCCTCCATGCATTAGGGAAAATTTAAATGGATGCAAGAGTGGCTAAGGCCAGGTCTGCGAGGAGACGGAAGAGGAGCAGCCAAGGAAGAGGCCAGTGGTGGTCTGGACCCCGCAGGGAGGGAGCAGGAGGAGGCACAGGGATGGGGCCGCATGCGGGCAAGTCCAGAATGATGCAGAGTTCCCCTTGGACTTTACTTCCTAGTCTCTGCCAAGAGCTGAGCCTTACTTTTTGAAAAAAAATTGCGTTATTGAGATATAATTCACATACCATACAATTCACCCTTCTGAAGTGTACAGTTCAGTGGTTTTTCATATATTCCAGAGTAGTGCAACCATCACCACTGTTTAATTCCATAACATATTTTCATTACCCTGAAAGAAACCTTGGACTGGTTAGGAGTCACTCCCTGGGCCCCGCCCTCCCCAGCTCCTGGCAGCTGCTCATCTACTTTCTGTCTGTATTTTTACCCATTCTGAACATTTCGTGTAAATGGAATCATGTGATATGGGACCTTTCGTGTCTGACTCCTCACTTAGCATAATGTTTTCAAGGTTCATCTGTAGCATGTGTCAGTACTTCCTTCCTTTTTGTGGCTAATAATATCTCATTGTATGGATACACTATATTTTGTTTATCCATTCATCAGTTGATGGACATATGTGTTGTTTCCACTTTTTGGCTGTTACAAATAATGCTGCTATGAACTTTCTTATATGAGTTTTTCTGTGGATGTATATTGTCGTTTCTCTTAGGTATATACCTGGGAGTGGAGTTGCTGGGTCGTATGGTAACTGTATATTTAACCTCTTGAAGAACTGCCAGACTTTTCCAAAATGACTGCACAATTTTACATTCCCACCAGCAATGTACAAGGGTTCCAATTCCTCCTCATCAACACATGTTATTATCTATCTTTTTGATCGTGGCCATCCGAGTGGGTGTGAAGTGGTATCTTTTTGTGGTTTTGAACTGCATTTCCCTGATGGCTAATGATGTTGAGCATCTTTTCATGTGTTTGTTGGCTATTTGTATATTTTCAAAGAAATGTCTATTTGAACCCTTTAAATTGGGTTATTTGGCTTTATTATTATTATTATGTTTTTTGAGGAAGATTAGCCCTGAGCTAACATCTGTTGCCAATCTTCCTCTTTTTTGCTGAGGAAGATTGACCCCGGGCTTACATCCGTGCCCATCTTCCTCTACTTTATATGGGATGCCACCACAGCATCGCCTGATAAGCAGTGCATAGGTCTGTGCCCAGGATCCGAACCTTCGAACCCTGGGCAGCCAAAGCGGAGCATGGGAACTTAACTACTACGCCACTGGGCCGGCCCCTATTTGGCTTTATTATTGAGTTTTAAGATTCTTCATATAGTCTAGGTACAAGTCTCTTATCAATATATGATTTGCAAATGTGTTCTCCCATTCTCTGTGTTGTCTTTTCACTTTCTTAATGGTGTTCTTTGCAGCAAAGTTTTTAATTTTGATGAATTCTAATTTATCTATTTTTTTTTATTTTATTGCTTGTGTTTTTGGTGTCATATCTAAGGAGGCATTGCCTAACCTGAGATTATAAAGATTTACTCCTGTATTTTCTTCTAAGAGTTTTCTAGTTTTAGCTCTTGCGTTTAGCTCTATGATTCATACTGAGTTAATTTGTGTGTGTTTGTGGAAAGAGTTCAGCTTCATTGCTTTGCATGTGCCCGGTTGCCCAGCACCATTTGAGAAAAGACTGTTCCTTCTCCGTTGAATTGTCTTGGCACCCTTGTCAAAAAGTAATTAACCCTACATGTAAAGGTTTATTGCTGGCCTCTCGATTCTAGTCCATTCGTCTAGGTATATCTGTCTTTATGCCAGGACCGTAATGTCTTCATTGCTGTCACTCTGTATTAAGTTTTGAGATCAGGAAGTGTGAATCCTCCAACTTTGTTCTTTTTCAAGGTGGTTTTGCCTCTTCTGGGTTCCTTAAATTTCCAAATGAATTTTGGAATTAGCTTTTTAATTCTTGCAAAGAAAGCCAGCTGAGATTTTGATTGGGATCACATAAAGTCTGTAGATCACTTGAGGAGTATTGCTATTTTAACAATATTAAGTCTTCTGATCCATGGATATGAGATGTCTTTCCATTTATTTAGGTCATAGATTTCTTTCAAAAATGTTTTGTAGTTTTCAGAGTATAAGTTTTGCACTTCTTTTGTTGAGTTTATTTCTACGTATTTTATTGATTTTGATGCTCTTGTAAATGGAATTGCTTTTGTAACTTCATTTTTGGATTGTTCATTGGTAGTGTATAGAAATACAATTGAGTTTTGTGTATTGATCTTTTACCCTGCAAACTGGCTGAACTAATTTTTAGTTCTGATAGTTTTTTAGTGGATTCCTTAGGATTTTCTATATAGAAAATCATGTCATCTGCAAGTACAGATAGAAATGGATCATTTTCTTGCCTAATTGCACTGGCTAGACCCTCCAGTACAATGTTGAATGATAAAGGTAGAGCTGACATCCTTGCCTTCCTTGTTCCAGATCTTAGGGGAGAGGCATTCAATCTTTCATGTTTCATTATGATGATCGCTATGGATGTTTTGTAGAGGCCGTTTATCAGGATGAGGAAGTTCCCTTCTCTTCCTAGTTTGCTGAGAGTTTTTGTCACGAAAGGGTGTTGGATTTTGTCAAATGCTTCTTATGCATCAGTTGATGCGGTCGTGTATTTTTGTCCTTTATTCTGTGGTGTATTATATTAACCGATTTTTCAAATGTTGAACCAACCCACATTCCTGGGATGAATCTCACTTGGTCATGATGTATAATCTTTTTTATATGTTGCTGGATTCAGTTGGCAGGGTTTTGTTGAGGACTTTTGCATCTATATTCATAAGGGATGTGGGATTTTATTGGGATCACATTGAATCTGTAGATCGGTTGGGGAGTAGTTGGTCTGTAATTTTCTTTTCTCGTGATGGCATTGGCTTTGGTTTCGAGGTGACACCAGCCTTATGGAATGAGTTGGGAAGTGTTCCTTCTTCTATTTCTTGGCAGAGTTTGTGGATAATTTGGTATATTTCTTTAAGTGTTTGGTAGAATTCACAATTGAAGCCATATGGCTTTTCTTTGTGGGTAGTTGATGGATTCCTCATTCAATCTCTTTCCTTGTTAGACGTCTATTCAGATTTTCTATTTCTTCATGAGTCAGTTTTGGTAGATTGTGTCTTTCTAGGAATTTGTCCATTTCATCTAAGTTTTCTAATTTATTGGCATATGGTGGTTCATAATATTCCCTTAGAATCCTTTTTATTTCTTTAACGTCAGTACTAATGTCCCTTCTTTGATTCCTGATTTTAGTAATTTGTGTTTTCTCTCCTTTACTGGGTCAGTCTAGCTACAAGTTTGTTAATTTTATTAGTCTTTTCAAAGAACCAACTTTGGTGTTGTTGATTTTCTCCATTGTTTTTTCTCTTTTCCATTCCATCAGTTTTTGCTCTAATCTTCTCTCTTCTGCCTTCTGCTTGCTTTACATCTAGTTTGGGCTTCTTTTTCCAGTTTCTTACATGGGGCTTGAAGAGCATGACTTGAGGTCAGACATTGCTGGATTCAAACCCCTTCTGTGCCACTTCTCAGCTGTGGGAGCTCTGGAAAGGCAGCCCCTATGAGCTTCAATTTTTCCATCTTTCAATAGGGACAATATTACTTGGCCCACAGTTTTGGGGAAGGTTAAATAAATACTGTCTGTATAGGGCACGGTCCCTGGCACCCGAGCAGGGGCTCAGACATGCTCCTTCCCGTTCTTTCCCCTCGCCCCTAGAAGACAGAAGTTCTGTTACCAGTAAAAGAGATCACTTTTCCATTGCTTTTCAGCAGTATTGACCAATCATACTCAGTCCAACATCCTAGACTATTTCAACATTCAACTAAAAGGACTTAAAGGCTCCTGTGGGCCTCAAAGAGCTAAGCTGGGGGTCCAAATCCAGCACTCAGTTCTCCTGGTGTTCCTCTGGCTCAGGGTTCACAGGCCACTCCCATCCAGTGCCTTGAGTAGCCAAGGCTCTGTGGAAAAGGAGCCAGTCTGCTCAGAAAATTCCGGAACCATTCTTTAGTTGAGAGCTGGTTGCGGGGGGCTTGCTCTGTTAGTGGGAAGCCAGATATCCATTTGTCAAGTAGAGTCTGGGACAGAAGCTTGTGTTCAGAGGCTCTGTGGCAGATATCCCATGTCCAAGTGAGCTGGAAGGGGACCTTAGGTACGGTCGTGTGTGGCCAGAGTGGACTGGCCAGCATTGGCTGGACTTCAGAGAGAAGCTTTTGGCCACAGGGTCCAGCTGAGCCTCAGGGGAGGGGTCTGGGTCGCCCAGGTGCCCCAAGAGGGCCAGGTGTTCTCAGGCCAGGCTGTAGCACACAGAACCTCTGGACTTTCCCCCCGGACCTCTTGCTTCACCACAGCCCATTTATCTTGGGGCTTCACAGCGCCAGCCCCGGGCTGCCCTTTCCTCTTGTCTGTCTCCTCGTCATCCTTGTTCAGGAGTGAAAATGAGGAGATCTCACCTCACTCTCTGTTCTGGGAAAATGGATGTTAGCTCTTCGTGCAATAATTCTCTTTAGCCATCCTTTCGGAGTCAGAGTTGTCTAACTTATAACACGTTGCACGTATACAGTTGTTCGTGGACAGTGTGAATAGAGAGACTGAAACAGGTGGACTCAGGTTGTATCTCTTGTGCAGATTGATTTTGAGCCATGGCGTCCCCTTCGGAAGGAAGTGGTGATGCCCTGCTGCCAGATTTCCCCAGAGGGCCCCTGCACGCGTACCGCGCCCGCGCCTCCTTCAGCTGGAAGGAGCTGGCGCTGTTCTTGGAAGGGGAGGACGTGCTGCACTTTAAGGTGAGGCCAGCGGCTATGCGGTGTTGGCTGTGCTGACCCCCAGTGTGGGCTGGTAGGCATCTCGGTTCATTGGCAAAGATGGGGCTTTATGTTCTTAAAGCCACGTGGCCTCCCTAGGCCTCGTCTCTGCCTCTGTAAATGCAGCTAATCCTGGGCCCAGCACAGGCCAGTCTCCTCTTGCACCCCCGGACCGTGGAGCCCCCGGATTGTTGAGGAGTCAGGAAAGAACACAGGCTGTTTAAGCTCTCTAAGCCTCAGGTCCCCCTGCTTTCCACTGGGAAGGACTGTCATCTGTCCCTGTGTTTTTGGGTTGGACTGCGTGTCCAGTGTAGCCAGTGGCCTTGCGAAAAACCACGTAAGTAAGGGCGTAGCAAGATTCCATCCTTTGACTCCAAATCGGCCATTCCCCGTCTCCTGTGTTTCCAGAAAACCATCTTCTCAGCTCTGGAGAATGACCCACTCTTTGCGCCTCCCCGTGGAGGCGATCTGTCAATGGAGAAGTACCGGGAACTGAACTTCCTGCGCTGCAGGCGGGTCTTTGAGTATGACTTCCTCCCAGTAGAAGACATGCTCCGGAGCCCTCTGAAAGTCCTGGTGCTGATCCACTGCCTGGGCGCGTATGACTGGTCCCTGGTATCCAAATTCATGCTCCATGTGTTGGTAAGTAGGCAGGTAGGAGAGGATGGGAAACAAGGCTGTCGCGGTTCACTGTCAAGCCTTAGAATGGCTCTGCCCCAGGGCCAGGCAGGAGGAAAGGACACTAAAACTGCAGGGACTTGTTTCTCTAGAAGACACACAGTGTAAGATTCGGACAGTTGGGGCCAGCCTCGTGGTGTAGTGGTTAAGTTCAAGTGCTCTGCTTCTGCGGCCTGGGTTCATGGGTTCAGATCCTGGGCACAGACCTACACCACTCGTCAGCCATGCTGTGGCGGCATCCACATACAAAATGGAGGAAGATTGGCACAGATGTTAGCTCAGGGACAATCTTCCTCACAAAAAAAAAAAAGATTTAGATAATTGCCTTTGTGGGTGTTGGTGTTTGCTTTTATTTATTTATTTTTGTGAGGAAGATCAGCCCTGAGCTAACATCCATGCTAATCCTCCTCTTTTTGCTGAGGAAGACCAGCTCTGAGCTGACATCTATTGCCAATCCTTCTCCTTTTTTTTTCCCCCCAAAGCCCCAGTAGATAGTGGTATGTCATAGTTGCACATCCTTCTAGTTGCTGTATGTGTGATGCAGCCTCAGCATGGCCAGAGAAGCGGTGCATTGGTGCGCGCCCGGGATCTGAACCCGGGCCGCCAGCAGCGGAGCGCGCGCACTTAACCGCTAAGCCACGGGGCCGGCCCCTGTTTGCTTGCTTTTAAAGTTTTGTGGGATTTTTTGTGTTTGGGAAATGTTTGTTTAAAGAGATTTCTAAAAAATAGTACAGGAAATGAAAGCAGAAATTAGAATGTGTGGGCAGATCTTGTGATTTTGTCTGTGAAGTCCAATTTTTCCAGCCGTCTATGCAAATTTACACACATAAGTCCTTGAATAATATCCAGTGCTGTGAAAATTAAAGCCCCATAGAAGAGGAGCTTTGGGACATTTTTTGCTTTATACCAAAAAACAAAACGAAAAGGGAAAGTAGGTCTAAGGAGAGGCCTGTGTCCCCTTCCTCTCCAGCACACGGGTGGAGACGGATTCGGAGAAGGAGGCTCGGCCTTGTCTCAGCACGTGGTGGGTCCGTGTGTTGCCAGATGGAAAGTTGGGCTCACGCTGCCCGTCGTGCACCCTCCTTCCTTCCCTTCCCCACCCCCCTCTCCCGGCTCCCTGCTGCCTCAGGATTTCTTTCAGGCATCATAAGCTCGAAGTGATTCTGTTTAACTCACATAAACTGCTTGGGACAGGGACCCAGGTCCCACCACTCCCTTGAGCTCAAGGCCAGGGCAGCCGGGTCTCAGGGGACCCTGGGCCCCGGACGCTGGTGCTGTCAACTGCCTCTTGGAGCTTCCTTCTCCCGTCTGAAGAGGCGTGGCAGTGAGGGACCGCTGTGGGGTAGGTGGTCAAGTGCCTGTCAGGTAGGACGTCCTGGAATAGTGGTACCCGTTAATTCCACCTGTTTCTGTGACGTCATATTTTCAGATTTTTGGATCAACAATTTACCACTCTGGCTCTGAAAGACATTTCAAATATATGCCAAAGATCTTCGGAATGGAGGTAAGTTGAGGTTGGTGGTGAATGGTGAGCTCCTGTTCTCTTCCCTGTTCTCCTTCGAGATTTGTGACCAGGGCAGGTTGCAGACAAGGGTCCCCAAGGGGGCCTATGCTCGTCTTAGTTCCTGGTGTTCTTAGGCTTCTCACCAAATAGCTAGCACTGTTCTTTACCGAATAGGGTTTGCTCAGTTCCTGGCACTGTGTGAGTTGAGCCTTTTCTTATCAAAGCTACCGCCTTCCGTCGTCTTCTACTGCCTGGGAGCAGTTCTGGCCGCCGTGCTGACTTCGTGGGGCTGCTGGCAGCTCATGACCCACTGTTCTCACAGGCTGGGCGGGGTGGCATCCTGCTCGGCAGGATGACTCAGGGAGGTCACTAGTCAGGTAGATGGGTAAATGGAGATTTGGGGCTTCCATCCATGGTTTAGTCCTTAAAGGGAAGCTGGTGTCAGGTCGCTCCAGGAACGTGCAGAAAGAGCCTTTCTTGCTCATCATTTTGTGCTTCCGTGTAGATTTTTGGATGTTTTGCTTTGACTGAACTGAGTCACGGGACTAATACCAAGGCTATCCGGACGACTGCTCACTACGACCCCGCCACTGAGGTAGGCATGACCTTCCCGTCTGTCTCTGGGCCTTGAGCACGTGGAACGTGCTGGTGTTGTGAAAGAGTCGCCGGACTGAGGGACCGGCCTTGTCCCGGGTGCTTGTAAAGTGCATGCTGAATCCAGCAGGCTGTGCAAGGGGGCTGGGGAGATGTGGGGTCTGAGAGACAAAGCTGCTCCCCCCAAGAATTTGATCACAGTTTGGACTTGGGTGTCGTCTGAATGCCGTGAAGAAGCTGTCAGTCTGTAAAATGTGTTTCTGTTTCTCAGGCAGCCTGCTGGGGTTGGATCTCTGACTGGTCAGGTTGCTCATGCTTTATGAAACGAGCCGTGTGAGAGGATTCTCCTTGACCCTCATCCCTCTCTAGCTGTCTGTCTGCTTCCCCTGCCTGTGGCCAGGCTCTTTTGGCCAGTGGCCTGCCTTCTCCGTCCCTGCCCACTGCAGTCTAGCCACCTTGACCCTCACCATCTTCCTGCATCCTGTGGCCTGTGTTCAGGCCTCGTCCCGTGGACCTCTCCATGGCATTTGCGCTGTTGGCCACTGCCTCATGCTTTCATTCAGTGCATCTATCAAGCACTGCCCTGTGCAGGCACCGTTCTCAGTGCCGTGCGTATGCGGGCCGTGTCGTTGCTCTCAGCGAGCGGACGGACTGGTGGAGGGACACGGACCGTGAACAAAAGGATTCATGATTTATTGGGTGGTCGGTGCTAAGGAGGGAAGTGAGGGCAGGGAGAAGAAGGGGTGTGCAGGCCAACGGGGGCCTCCTCACTCCGTGACCCCTGTACCTCTCCCCCGTTCTGCTGCCCTCTCCCAGTCCTGGCATCGGCCTCCTTCGCCTCCGTTCTCCCAGAGGCCCATGTCCTTCCACCACTCGTTGCTCACCTGGCTGGCGTTTTGGGAAGCTTTTGCCTTTCCCCCATTGTAGTGTGGTTTGGAAGAGTCTGAAGCAGAGAGTAAAGCCCTGGGTCTGCGTATTTGCTTGTCGTTCATTCATTCAACAGCGAGGGCTGAATGTGGGCTGTGTGGCTGGGGTGCTGCGTGCCAGGAGCACAGGGAGGAACAAACCCCAGAGGAGTGGAGCGGGGACGAGGGAGAGGTGGTCATGGTGCAGCGCCCTGTGGGCTGCTGTCTCGGGGTCTGGGAGCAGAGCCAAGGGGCCTCACTCCAGAGTAGGGCTGAGAGCAAGCTGCTCAGCCAAGCCCCTCTTGGCTTTTTGTTTGTTAAGCCAAAGATGCCTTCATCTGAACCCAGGTCTTTGTGGCTCTATGGCCCGTTCCCTTTCCACTGCACTCAGGTGACCGTGGGCTCCCAATGCGAGATGGGGAGGCCAGTTCTGACTCTGGCAGAGGGAAGGTGGTACCCACATGGCCTTGGGCCCGTGCGAAGCCTGGACGTCCATGGGGTGGTCTTTTTCTAACCCACTTCCTTTTGGCATTTGGTGCTTAAATGAAGGTCAGAGCATGACGTCAGGTCAGTGGAGATCAGGAGCCCAGAGGCTTTCGCAGGCTGCTGGTTATGCATTCCTCTAGACAGCGATATTTGTTGAGTACCTACCATGTCCTAGACAGTGTTGTGGAGACTGGGCGCAGAGTGGTGAGCACAACAGGTAAACCTCTGCTCTGGTGGGACTCTCCTGCCAGAGGGGAGACACAGGCAGACGCCGGGAGAACCCGGATGTGCCAAGGGGCTATGGAGCCTCGAGAGGGTGGAGGTAGAGTGTGATGGGGCGCAGGGAAGGCCTCTACAGAGGTGACAGGCTGAGACCGAGTGGCTCGAAGGAGACTGCCGTGTGAAGACCTGGGTGGAGGGAGCACCGAGGCCCTGAGGGAGCTGGCTGGCTGGGTGCCTCCTGCCGGGAACAGCAACAGTGGCAGCTGAAGCGTGGGCAGCGGAGAGGCGGGGGTCCCTCAGAGAGGGGAAGGGGCGGCATGGCTGGCAGTCTGTTTTCCCACCCACTCCCACTTCCCTTTAGTGAGATCTCGACTCTACAAGGTGCCACACAGCACACTGACCGTTTATAAAATCGTGCACGCTGCCCGATTACAGAGGGAATTCTGCCTGGCGTCCTTCCCGCTTCCTACCCTGGAGGAAGAGGGAAACCTGAGAATTTGCCTGTGGTAGCGACTCACTCCTGGACGCTGCTCTCTGTCCAGTTACCAAGCAGCCCTCGCCTCTGAATAGTCCGCATCCTTCCCACGCCCACCTCATTTACAGGTCCTCCTGGTGGGTGCCCTCCCCAGGAGCAGCCCCGCCCCCCCAGCACCCACCCCTGGTTCCCTCTTGCTTTTCTGCCTCACTGAGCGCCCAGCTGTGTCCTCGGGAGACCTGTCCACGCCTCTCAGCTTGGTTATTAATGCCCGTGTTCATTCACTCCACGTTTTGAGTGTCTGTCTTGTGCTCCCAGGCGTGTGGGATCTTACTCTCTCGGAGGAGCTTACAGGTTGGAGAGACGAGCAGGAAAAGGAATGTATGTTGTTAATTGGAGGTCGATGGGGGATAAGATAGGAGTATGGGGGGTCCACTTAAAGGCTGCAGTCAGGGAAGCCTCCCTGGGAAGACAAGCGCTCCCTGCGGCGTTGGCCAGCTTCCCAAATGTTTTGTGTATGTTTTATTTGATATATTAGTCATCGTGTTCTATAGGAAGGTGCTTCTTTAAGTCATAAGACCCCGAATATGCTGTTTAAAAATAGACCCACTGCTGCTGTTCGGGCAGTCAAATGTTCAGTAAGTTCTTAGTCCTGCCTCAAAGGTTTTGAGCAGAGAAAACCAAATGTATCAAAAAGGAAAAGAAAGTCTGCATGTGTTTCAGTTGCTAATTTTAACTTTTAACTTTTTTTTCCCTTGTGCAGGAATTCATCATACATTCCCCCGATTTTGAAGCTGCCAAGTTTTGGGTCGGCAACATGGGCAAGACTGCTACCCACGCGGTGGTGTTCGCACAGCTGCACACGCCGGGGGGCGGGTGTCATGGCCTGCACTCCTTCATCGTGCAGGTGGGCTGCCCGTCGTGTTGGAGAGCTGAGGTTCCCAGCTGGGCCAGCATTACCCTAGGCGACACCTGGCAGTGTCTGGAGACATGTTCGTCACAGTTGGGGGCGGGTGCCTCTGGCATCTAGTGAGTAGAGACCAGGGATACGCTGAGCATCCTGTGGTGCACAGGACAGCCCCACCCGCCCCTGGGAAAGGACTCTCCAGCTCACTGTTGGTGCTGCCGCCCCAGGATCGTTCAGTGGAGGATCTCTCCATCCTCCTAGTGGCCACGTCGGCTTCCTCTCAGACACTTGTCACAACCTGGATCTCCTGGCCCCACCCTCCCAGGCTGCTGACGTGGCAGGTCTGAGGTGGGCTCCAGGAGTCCTGGCATGCAGTCTGACCTGGGGGCCTTGATGTAGCCCGTGCCTGGGTCACAGACAGGGAGCTTTGCCCAAGGGGGGCATCTGGGACTGATGGCTGGGCCAGGGCTCCCTGCCTCCCCTGTGGGGCCCATTTCCCAACTGCCCAAGGCAGACAGTGTCCCCAGACCTGGAGCTTCCAGAAGCCTGTCCAGAACCTGTCTCTCTGGGCTGGCTGGATACTGAATGAAGTCCCACTTACCCGCCCCCACCCCACCCTGACCCATTCTGGCATTTTTGTTGTTTAAGACTTTTCCGGTGGGGGTGGATCTCATGAGAAAAGAAAGTCATCATAGTTTTTTTTTGATTGAGGGGAAATTCATGTGACATACAATTAGCCATTTTTTTTTTTTAAAGATTTTTTTATTTTTTTAAATTTTTTCCCCCAAAGCCCCAGTAGATAGTTGTATGTCATAGCTGCACATCCTTCTAGTTGCTGTATGTGGGACGCGGCCTCAGCATGGCCGGAGAAGCGGTGCGTCGGTGTGCGCCCGGGATCTGAACCCGGGCCGCCAGTAGCGGAGCCCACGCACTTAACCGCTAAGCCACAGGGCCGGCCCCAATTAGCCATTTAGAGTGAACAGTTCAGTGGCTCTTGTGCATTCAGTGTTGGGCAGCCACTGCCACTGGTTTCAGAACGTGTCGTCCCCAGAAGAGCACCCCACACCCTGAGCAATCACCCCCTGCACCCCTGTCCCCGCCCCAGGCAACTCTTGTCTCCTTCTGGACATTTCACATAAGAGGATCGTACCATATGTGACCTTCCACGCCTGGCTTCTTTCAGTTAACATGTGTTTGAAGTTTGTCCAAGTTATAGCACATGCCAGAACTTCTCCTTTCTGGGGCTGAGTTAGCCAGTGTGTGGGTAGACCACAGTTTGTGTGTCCGTTTGTCTGTAATGGACACTTGGGCTGTTTTCACCTTTTGGTGATTGTGAATGTGCAACTGTGAGCATTCATGAGCAAGTGTCTGTTTGAACACCTGTGTTCAGTTCTTTGGGGCGTATATCCAGGAGTGGACTGCTGGCTCGTAGGGTAATTCTGTGTTTGACTTTTTGAGGAATCATGTTGTTTTCCACAGTTCCCACCATCGTACATTCCCACCAGCAATGTGTGAGCCTTCCAGTTTCTTCACATCCTCACCAACATTTGTTCTTTTCTTTTTTTTTTAATAATCACGCTAGTGGGTGTGAAGTGGTATTTTTTGTGGTTTTGATTTGCATTTTCTTGGTGACCAGTGATGTCAAACATCTTTTCATGTGCCAGTTGGCCGATTGTATATCTTCTTTGGAGAAATGTCTGTTCAAGTCCTTGGCCCTGAAGCAGAGATCCCCCCTCCACGGGAAAGGCAGAGGCTGCACACTGGGAGCTGCTGTAGCAGGGGCTTGGCCACCGTCCCCTGAGTTTGGCAGAGACTCAGAGGCAGGCAGAGTGGGCGCTTCACAGAGGAGAAAAGGGGGCTGAGGGGCCCCCTGACGGGGCTGGGGGCCTGGGGGGGGTGGCTCACTAGAGGGGGCGTCCAGGTGACTGTGAGGGGAAGGTCTGGCTCTCCCGGGTTGGTCCTGAGTCGGAAGCAGGACAGAAATTAGGGAAGCTGTGGTTATGATCGAGTCCTGGCTGATGGGCGCAGGGTTACTGTTTGGCTCCTGGGCTGGCTGCTGCAGGTGATGGGTCAGAGCTCTACTGTTACATGATCTGGCCGTTGTCTGTACATTCAGTCCCTCAGTCCATTTCTTAATTGGGTTGTTTGTCTTTTTGTTGTTGAGTTATGAGGGTTCTTTATACGTTCTGGATACTAAACCCCTATCAGATAGATGATTTGCATATATTTTCTCCCAGTCTATACGTTGTCTTTTCATTTTCTTGATAATGTTGTTTATGCACAAAGCTTTTAATTTTGATGACATCCAGTTGATCCATTTTTCTTTGTCGCTCATGTGCTGATTTTTCAGTTTACATTTGAACTACTGCAGACTGGGGGTATTTTTCGATACCAAGGCCACCATTCATGGTTCCTGTGAGTGTAGATTTGTACCTGAAGTGAACTTCTTTTTTTTCTTTCTTTTTTGCTGAGGAAGATTAGCCGTGAAGCTAACATCTGTGCCAGTCTTCCTCTACTTTATATGTGGGTCACTGCCACAGCGTGGCTGATGAGTGGTGTAGGTCCACACCTGGGATGAGAACCCGTGAACCTGGGCTACCGAAGCGGAATGTGCCAAACTTAACCACTACGCCACTGGGGCTGGCCCTGACGTGAACTTCTGATGGAGATTGTCTGGACTAGAGTTCCACGTCTTTCAGTGTTTCTGGTTCTCAGACTATAGAGCCACGGTGTTTTAGACTCTAAAAGTTAAGCTTGAAATCCTCAGTAGGATCTTGCCATTCCTCCATCCAGCTGCTGGTTCCTGTGCCCGGTGTATACCAAGTGTGGGCTCGAGGGCAGCGTGGTACCCTTTCCTCGAGGGTTCACCGCCTACTGAGAGGGACTGGGACAAGGAGCCACAGACCCTTGTGACACGTGCTGCACGTCATTAGCCGGGAAAGTGGAGGGTTATAATTTGTTGCAGGTTTCTTGTATCAGGTTGGCAGTGTCCAGATGTTGTGGGAAATGTTGTATGTAAATTGACACAATTAAATATTTTTGAGGTAAGTGTACCATCAACTAGTTCTGCTTTTAACTTTGGTCAGCGTCTTTCCTGGATTGGAGAGGTTGATACATTCTATTTGTAATGACGACAGTACCGTCTACTTCCAGGTGAACTGACAACTTGCATTCACGTTATTTTTCTGCTTGATTACTTGAAAATCACCAACTTCCTTTTGACTGTCTTCTCCTCTCTCCGTCTCCACTTTTTAAATTACTTTTTTATTTCAAAAGGCTTTTAGAAGTTTGTGTCTGAATCTTTACTGAGCCTTATTGAAGGATTTTAGAAAAAAGGAAAGACCTTTGGGCTCCAGCCTTTTATTTTAAATATCATTATCATCAAGTTCAGTTAAGTTAGATGATAGTTGCACTGAAATAAACAAAAACTAGCAATTCGTACAAATAGCTCAGTTCCAAATAGCACAAATCCAGTAGTTCTGTAAAGCAGTTTCTTGACCTTGGTGCTATTGACATTTCGGGGGCAATAATTCTGTGTGGCGCTGTCGTGTGCACTGGGTGGGGGGGGTGTAGCAGCTCCCCTGGCCTCCACCTACTAGATGCCTGTGGTTCCCCTGGTTGTGACACCACAACTGTCCCAGACATTGACAGGTGTCCCCTGGTGGGGCGGGGAGGGGGGCAGAGTCAGGCCTGGGGGGGAATCGCTACTTAAGGGTATTCTAGAAGGAAACTCCGTGTCCTTAGTGGAGAGCTCACATGTGAGGAACATCAGCTAGCAATATCTGTATTTTTTAGGTAAGTATACCTGTTGGAAACTCATTTTGAGGAGCAGAGATTTACAGAAATAACCGTAGGCTCTCTCTCCCACAACACATATGTGTACAGCCATTTTGTTGTTTGTTAAAATCCAGCGGGAAGTCCTATATGTAGAACATGGATGTGACATCCTGAAGTCCTCAGGCAGCAGGTACTAATCAGCTCCTGCATTCTCTTCCCGAGGCTGTCGCAACAAAACAAAACACCACAAACTGGGGGCTTCAAACAGCAGACGTTTACTTGCACAGTCTTGAGACCGGTAGTCCAAATCAAGCTGTAGGCAGGGCCGCGTCCCCTCTGGAGGCTCTAGGGGAGGGTCCTTCCTGCCTCTTCCAGCGTCTGGCGACCACCAGAGCCCCCAGGCTTGTGGCCGCATCCCTCCCATCTGCCTCCGTCTTCTCCACGTTCTCTCCTCTTCTGACAAGGACACTTGTCATTGAACCTGGGCCACCTGGGTAATCCAGGAGGCTCTCATCTTGAGGCCTTCAGCTTAATTACATGTGCAAAGACCCCCATCTCCAAATCAGGTCACGTTTGTGGAGGACACAGTTTAACTCACTGCAGCTACCCAGAGGGATTCCGTGGCTCAGTCCCTGGGGTTTTTGAATGAATTCACTTTGATTTCCGTGTGGTCTGATAGTTGCCGTTTGTTGCTTTCTGTGGTTTGTAGATTCGGGACCCGAAGACCCTTCTCCCTGTGCCAGGGGTGATGGTTGGTGACATAGGGAGGAAGCTTGGGCAGAATGGTCTGGACAATGGGTAAGTGCACACTCCGAACTTGATGGTCCCGGTGCCCTCCTCCACGGGGTTGTTCCTCAAGGCTGCTTGCTCAGGACCTGGATTCCTACCAAGTCCAAGGCTGCATGGCTGCTCGAACTGTGATCTCACTGGGTCCCTCAGTGCTGTCCCCTTACCCTCCTGGACTGTTGTGGGTGTGCACCCAAGAGCCACGTGGGAAGGGCTGTCTCCTGCATGAACTCCAGTGTCAGGTGGTGTCAGTAGACCCGAGTACTGAATGAGGGAACTTCTCTCCGGGCAGGTGGCCACCCCCACTCTCAGATCAGGCCCAGGGCAGGTAACCTGCAGCCTGGGTGGAGCTGAGCTGTGCCCGGCCCGCCTTCCCCGGATGAGGTCCTCAGCATCCTAACCCTCCCGGAGCTCGAGCATCCAGCTCATGTCCACACTGATTTTGGGGTGGAGCAGTGTTCCAGGTAGAGGGAGCAGAGTGGCATGAGATGAGGCTGCAGGGCTGGGGAGGGTACACTGGACTGGGGGCAGGGCGGGTGGGGCGAGCCACGTCAGGAAGGGCCCTGACGTCCCCCTGAGGGGTTCCAAGGGCCAGTAATGCAGGAGCTTTGAAACCTGACGGGTTTGGATTCAAGTCCTGGTCCACCTCTGACTCTGGGTTCTGTGGAGCAGCTCTCTTGGCCTGTTTCCTCATCTGTAATGTGGGCGTGACGACTGCAGTCGCCGTGTGGGGCCCTCGCACAGCCTCCTGAGTGGGCCAAGGGCAGGTCTTCCGCCTATTTGCTCTGTGTCCGTGCTTCCCCCACCTTGCACGTGAGACTCCGTACACTGTCTCCGGGAAGCCTGGCTGGGAGGGTTTACGCCCCTCTGTTTCTGTGAGACAGTTTGTAACTGGGGAGGAAGCCAAAGCCAGGGCTGCTCCTTAGTCGTGTGTCTTGCATTATGTCTGGAGAATGTTTATATACTTGCTGCTTTGTAACAAGGCAGGGAACAGAGGAAGCCGCCTCTTGGTAGTTTGAACTCACTGGCTATCCTAACCCTGGCCATTTTGGGTGTAAAGCAGGAGGTGGGTCAGCTCCAGAGAGAGAAGCTGGACCAGGTGGCCTCCAAGGACCCCGAGCGTGGAGAGACCTCCTTTTGTCTGTCCCTCCCAAGAATAAGGGGGGCTGGGGGTACAGAGACTGTCTCCAACCTCTGCCTGGACCCTCAAAACAGGGGGGGCCCAGACTATACGAAAGCGGGCTGGGCAGCCATTGATTTTACTCAGTGTTAGTTTGAGACAATAGAAGGATGTTAAAAAGCAAAACCAAACACACGTGCGCAAAACCCTTCCAGCCAGTACCTGCCTCCCAGGATTCTGAGTGCCTCTCTCGCCAATCTGTGAAAGACCCTGTTAACTAACGTTGGAGCCCAGCGGGGAGGAGGGTGCCCCTGATGGGGCCGTATATTCCTTTAGATCCCTGCTTTGTGCAGCGCGGGGGCCCTGGCGCGGACGTGCCATGTGGCTCGCCTTGAGCTTCCTCTTCCTGCCCTTGTCCTCAGGGCAGTGGGAAGGCAGTGACCTGCTCCAGTCTGTTTGAGAAGGTCGCTCTGGCCGCGAGTGAGGAGACATCAAGGAAGGCGGTGCAGGAGGTCAGGGTGGAGGGGACTGTCTTGTTCTGGACTTTGAATCCTAGCGTCGTTTTATTAGATCCACGCGTCCAGTTTGGGGCTCAGAAAATACGTGTGTCGTGACTCCATCTATGGAAAGGTCTGTGCGTGCATGTAAGGCCGGGCAGGTGTATCCTCAGGTGTGTGGTGGTGGTAGATTACCCTCTAGCGGCGAATAAATGCTACCAGGTCACATCCGGTGGACGGCACCAGGTGTGGTCACGGGTCTCTCCTCACTGTCCATTTGGTTTGACTAATCAGAACCTTTAACATTGTTCTGGAACATCACCAAAAACCCTGCACTTGTTTCCCCCCAGTAAACTCAGATTCCTAGAGACTGAGCACTCGTCTCCTGTTACGATAGTCCCCCCAGAAGTGTTAAGCAGAGCCACTTACAGTGAATGCATCACGCCGGTGTAGAACAGGCTCTCCTGAATCAGCCTGTCACATCGCTGCGTCGCTGGAGCAAAGGCTCTTCTAAGATTCAGAGATGCCAGTCGCCTCCAGCATTATCATGGGCGGTGTGATGACCACCCTGTGAAGCAGTTTCACAGCGGCTCCCCCACACCAAGTGTCACTGTGCCCTGCAGAGCTGCTCAGTGGCAGCCCAGTGGGACGTTGGAAGCAGCCATGTGGGTCCCTGAGCCTTTGAAGGTTCAGTGACTTGCTGGGGCTCGGGGTCCGTGGCTCATAGGGCTGGTGCTGGGATATGAGCCAGGTACATGGTGCGGGCAGGCCCCACCCCCTGCCTCCTCCCCAGATGCTCTCTCTGTCCTGGCCATGGGGGCGCGCACAGCCAGCAGAGGGCGCCTGGGTTCTGAAGCTCTGGGCTGGCTGTTAAGGCCACACCAAGATCCTGGTGGTCTCTCTGCTCGGGTGCTGGCCGAGTTCTCCATCTAATTCTAATATCAGTGTTCTAATTTAGTGATTTTTTTCCAAGATCACTTATTTTGGAAAAAAAGGTAACAATTTGTAGGTTAGATTTTGTCACTTCACAAGAGTTCCCAAGTATGTGGGATGACTGTCTAGAAATCAGAGGCAAACGTGAATTGTGTGGATAGTTATAGTCAAATAACTCTAAAAGCCAAATAACAAAGACCCTCTCAAGTGAGATTTTCAGCCAAACCTTTAAGGTGGGCTGCAGGCTCTGAGGTGAGGCAGGGCCTTTAGGCCTTGGGAATCCATCTCAAAAGTGGCCGGGAGGGGCCAGCCTGATGGCGTAGTGGTTAAGATCACACGCTCCGCTTCAGCTGCCTGGGGTTAGCACGTTAGGATCCCAGGTGCACACTGACCACCACTTATCAAGCCATGCTTGGCTGCATCCCATATAAAGTAGAGGAGAATTGGCACAGATGTTAGCCCAGGGCCAATCTTCCTCAGCAAAAAGAGGAGGATTGGCAACAGATATTAGCTCTGGGCTAATCTTTCTCAGCAAAACAAAAACAAAAACAAAAGTGTCCGGGAGGAAGTCCCAAAAGGTGCTAGATGTGTTTGGTCCTAGGTGGGGCTGGAGGGTGGCCTTGCGGGAGGCCCCAAGGAGGAAGGAAATTGCTGGAACTTAGAGCAGGAGGCTGAGGGCAGAAGGGTATATGCAGTACCTGGGAGCAGGGTCTGTGGCCTCCAAGCTCCCAGCACACCCCACGCCCCCTGCCATGTTCACATATTCCTTATGCCACATACACCCCTGTGTCACACACACCCCCATGTCACATACACTCTGTGCCACATCCATATCACACACCCCATGTCATTCATCCCATGTCACACACTCCTGTCACATACACCCCGTGTCACATCCCACATTGCACACCCCCATTGTCAGACACACCCAGTGCCACCCATACCCTGTGCCCTCTGGGGACACTGGGGGTTCTGGCCTGCAGGCTGGCCCACCGGTCTGGCCACCATCTGACTGTTTCTGGAACAGCGTTTGTGGTGTCGAAGTGCTCAAAGAGAATATGTGAAATTTTGCTTTCCGTTAAACTCAAGCGAATATTTGTACAAGTGGAAATATATTCGTGCTTGTTCCATCTGTGTATGGCACGGAAGGGTGAAGATTTTCCACTCCTTAAAGAGGGCACTTTGAGTTTACCAAATTGTACTTGAAAAAGCATTCCTTGGCTTAAGCTGGAACACACCGGGGGTGCTGGCACCGAGTCTGGGTGTTCTTGAAAAGTGGGCATCTGGACGTGCGGCCTGGGCGGGTGTTCCCCGGCCTCTGGGGCCACCACTGCAGCCAGTCAGAGCGATCCACAAAGGCCCTGGCTCAGCGGCTCCCTCCTGGGCAGCTCCCCGAATGGTCCGGCAGGGCCTGCTGGGGAATGGTCTGCAGCGACGACCTCTGTTTCCCACGCTGCTGCTGCCGCAGGCTGAGAACTCAGCATGTCTCCTAGGCTGCCTGAGGCATTTGGGAGGGACCTCCTCCGACCTCCGTGCCGACCTCCGTGCCGCCCCAGGTCTCTGCTCCTCCCGGTGCCGCTGAGTCTTTCCCCCAAGGCCGTCTCCGGACCAGGGTTTTGTGGAAATGGCACCAGTGCCCACAGGATGTCTCACCCACTGTGGGTTCATTCCACAGCACTTACTAAGTGTCCGGAAGGTTCCAGGCACCGTGGCCCCGTTACAGCAGGGTGAACGAGACCCCTAGGAAACTGCCAACACACAGCATGTGGCTCAGTGAGGAGCATGGACAGTGGCTGGTCGCCGCAAAATGGGGCCACCCTCTAGTGGTGCCGTGGGACTACCTGGTACTCACTGCAGGGTGGGTGGAGAATCGTGGCAGGCATCGTGGAGGAGGCGGTGGCACTCTGAGGGCCGACTGCCTAGAGATCAGGAGAGAGCCTGGTCAGTCTGAAGGTCACTAGCAGATACAACCTGCCTGCAGGCTGTGAGGAGGGCAGTGCTGTTGGAGCAGTGGGCAGGGGTCCCGTCTGAGGGCCTGCCCTGTGTTTCTAGGGGTTAGATTCTGTCGGTCCTGACATCTCATGAGGGCGTGACCCTTCTGAGCTGAAGTTGGGAAAGGCCTCTGCTCCTGTGTGCAGGACAGGCTGACAAGGTGGGGTCTGGAAAGAGCCACGGGGGAGACTGTTGCGGTAAATCAGACAAGAAGAGGCGGGCACTGAGCGAAGACGGGGATAGAGGGGAGCGGACGGTCAACACAGCCCAGGGCGGGGTGGGCGGCGGAGGTGGGGTGAGGGCGGTGACTCGGGACGGTGTGGCTGGCGTGCCGTCGGCAGGCTGGGGCTAGAGGTGGTTCTTTGAAGAGCTGTTTGTGTGGTTTAGTGGGAGAATATTCTGTATGATATTGAAAGTGCTCTTAGGAATCAAACAGGTTGCTTTGGGAACTATTGATATCTTTAAGATGGTTCGGGTTTTTTTGCACAGCTTATGTAACACCCATTACTTTGCAAAACCTTGTTCCCTAGACTATTGCGAAATAGGTTTTCCTGAGCTGACAACCATAGAAAATATCTTTGGTTACTAACACATAAGGGACCCGTAAGGGTGTGAGTGTACCCCTGCTCTTCTCTGCAGTTCAAGAGGAACTCATCCGCCTGCCTTTGGGGCAGTGGTATAATAACGCAGTTCTTTTGTTTGACTTGAGAGGTTTTTTTTGTTTGTTGTTTGGTTTTTTCTGTGAGGAGATCAGCCCGGTGCTAACAACTGCCAATCCTCCTATTTTTTTTGCTGAGGAAGACTGGCCCTGGGCTAACATCTGTGCCCATCTTCCTCCACTTTATATGGGATGCTGCTACAGCATGGCTTGACAAGCAGTGCGTCGGTGGACACCCGGGATCCGAACCAGCGAACCCCGGGCCGATGCAGCGGAGTGCACACACTTAACCACTTGCACCACCAGGCCGGCCCCAAGACTTGAGAGTTTTAAAACCTCAGTTTGCTGATTTCACTGCATCACACTGTGCTTTCTGGTCTGAGACTGAAATGTGAGAACCAGAGATTGTAATCTCTAAAATAACATTTCCCGTCCTGTCCTTTCTGTTGAGTAACCGGTTCCTCAGTTGTATGCAGGGGCCGAATCCTCGCGAATCCTTGCCCTGCAGCAAGGCCTCCTCTTCCCAGCGTCCCTGGGACGAGCCCTGGTGGGAGTGAGGCCCCGGGCCTCGATAACTACCACTCCGTGGCCCGTTTTGTTCACAGAGGACCCCACCACACAGACACCGCTTTATTTTTAAACTTACTCTTTTGGATAGAAAGATTTGTTGAAATTTCCTGTCTACTGGTGTCTTCTCTCCCGTTTTCTTTGTCTTTTGGGGCTTATGTCACCTTTTAAGGTGTCCTTTGCTTTCCCTTGGCTGAGTTTCAGGGGGAGAGGAGAGAGAAGCACTGGGCCAGACCCCTGTTTAACCACAAGTCCTGCCGTATCTCCGCAGATTCGCCATGTTCCACAAGGTTAGAATTCCTCGCCAAGACCTCCTGAACCGGATTGGAGATGTCACCCCTGAGGGCACCTATGTCACCCCCTTCAAGGTACAGGCATCACCAGGTAGGGATGTCTGTGGGTGGCAAAGCCCTCCCCTCCACCATGGAACACTCCTCCGTGCTCAGCAGGTGGAGCCGGGTTGGCAGGTGGGCAGACCTCTCTAGGTTCCGGTTCCGGCACGACCAACAAGGAAGGGGGCCCTTGGGTCATCCACACCCCCGGGATCCCAGGCATGATGACAGATGCTGACTGACAGCTGCCCGAGGGCGTCCACTCCCCTGCACCACCAGCCAGCCCTCTGGGGTTACATGAGGGATGCTGCCCCCGCCAGTGTGGTTTTCCTGAAGGGTTAAAAGGTGAGGGGTCACTTGGTGGAGTATCCAAAATGAGGGTGACAAACAGTGTTCTCTGGTGTCTGGGGCTCCCCACGCCCCTATTTCTTGCGTGGTAGAGACATGATGGTGTGGCCTTGGGCCCTTTGCAGACATGGCCCGAGTCGGAGTGGCTGGTTGCCCTCCTGTGTCCTGAGCTCACAGCCGGGGTGACCGTGTCCCGAGGAGCACACGCACTTGCAAGGACTCTGTCTGGACAACATGCGTCACCTGACAGGAGCCGAAAGAGCAGGGCTTAAAGTGAGGGTGACAAGTTCCCTGAGAGCTAAGGAGAGAAGTGAGCACCACGCAACTGGAAGTAATTTCAGAAGGAAACAGTAATACAGAAAGTTAGTTGAAAGTTAATGTGGCAACAAAATAATTTGAAAGAAAGCTCACAATAGATGGGACAAATATGGTGGGACAATGAATTAGAGGTTGGAAAATCATAGCGAAGGAGCCTTCCAGAAGGCACAGGAAAGGATGGAAGAAAACGAAGTTTGGAGGAATAATGACAACAAACGTCCCTAAATTGAAGAAAGGAAGAAAACCTTGATCGAAGGACCTGTGGAGCCCAAGGAGGAGAAGCCAGCAAAGCACGTCCCCCAGGCACACTGGAGAGAAATTTAAGAATTTCAAAGAGGAAATTCTGAAATCTTCCTGAGAGAGGCTGCAGATCTGACTCAGGTGGAATAACACCCACTGTACCTTCAGATTCCTCGAGCGCAGCGCAGAGCGCAGGGAGGCGGTGGAACGGTCCCATGTACGACCGTTGGGGGATAACCTCACTCGCGTGCTGTGAGAGCCCGCTAAGCTGTCGTTCGTGCCTGAGGACAGAAGAGGTCTTCTTCAGCGTGCAGAGTTTTGGAAGGGTGCCACACAAATACCACAAGGGACATAATTTTGGAAGAAGAGCCCAGATAATAAAAAGAAGTGAACCGGGAGAGGCAGCAGGAGGTGAGGGAGGTCAGGTGATGGGATAACTCGGTGAGGCTGTGGGTCAGGTGTGCCCGCTGTGCTGCCAGCGGTCCTTAAAGACAAGCCAGGCGCTGTTGGCAACAGTGGTACGTACACTGAGATTTATAACAGAATATCAAAAGTAGGTGTGTGAAAGAGTTACCCATTATAGGGGGGCCGGCCCCCTGGCGTAGCGGTTAAGTGTGCGCGCTCCGCTGCTGGCGGCCCGGGTTCGGATCCCAGGTGCGCACCCATGCACCACTTGTCAGGCCATGCTGTGGTGGCGTCCCACATCAAGTGGAGGAAGATCAGCATGGATGTTAGCCCAGGGCCTGTCTTCCTCAGCAAAAAAAAAAAAAAAAAAAAGAGGATTAGCATGGATGTTAGCTCAGGGCTGATCTTCCTCACGAACAAACAAAGAAAAAAAGAATTACCTGTTATAAAAGAACATGAGAGCAGGTGACATCACACTCCTTAGAAAGGTTGTCTTTGATGGGGAGAGAGGGCTTCTGGGGCAAAGTGGATCAAAGGGATTCATTTTGTAAACAAAGCCTTGGCACCAGCCATGGCACATGGGTCCGAGGTTCCCCACGTGCGCTCTGGGCACAGGCTGTGTCTGACTTTCAGGGGGGTTAGAGCGGGGCTGTGGTGCCTCCAGGTGGGCAGTGTGTGGCCCCGCAGAGGGGCACTCCTGCATAGTGCTCTCCCTCTGCCCAGAGCACCTTCCCCTGGTGCCTCCCCACACCGTCCTGGGAGGAGGATTCAGTAATGATACCTGCACCCCTGCTGCTGGGCCTGTCCCTGTCCTGCACCTGGAGGTCTGTGTCTGGGCACCCTGGGGGCAGGGCCTGACCGGCCCTTGTCAGCGTGAGCGCACCCTCCTCTTCCTCCTCACCCCTGGGGGTAGCCCGAGGAGGCCTGGCTGCACTCCTCATCCGCCTTGCTTCCGTAGGATGACAGGCAGCGCTTCGCAGCGTCCCTGGGTAGCTTATCCACTGGCCGGGTGTCCATCATGAGCATGTCCGTCGTTAATCTGAAGCTGGCCATCTGCATAGCACTTCGCTTCTCTGCCACTCGGCGTCAGTTTGGACCGACGGACGAGGAGGAGATACCGGTTCTTGAGTATCAGGTGCAGGTACGGGTTTCGCAAGTGCACTTCTGTTTTCCTTCTGATACGCGTGTAAGTGGACTCCTTTCAGGGAGCCGCAGTTCGGTTCCGGGAGTTGATCAAAGCTCTTACGGTGGTTAACAGAGCTGCTAACGGAGTCCAGGGAGGAGAGCAGCGTCGAGGGCAGGGGCTCCTAGCGAATGGTCTTGGGTGAGAGGGGGCACGCACGGCTAGCCTGGACGGGAAAGTGGAGGATGTGGTTCTGGTGAGGCTCTGGGGACGCGGATGCACACGCTGCTCACGCGTGAGGTCACTGCGGGCTCTGGCAGGTGGTCCTGCACGTCCGGGGCCACTACCTTTGACTCGTTCATCCCATCCCTAAGAAATGAGCCCGAGGAAACAACTGCTAAGAAGCAGCCGAGTGTGCCATGCTGTGCATTGTGACGTCATTTAGCAGAAGGAACGCTTGTCCTCTGGGTCCTCAGAGATGGGCCAGCCATTGATGGCCAAGATGCAGCCTGGCCCACAGCACGGAGAGTCGACGTTACCACCTGGGAAGGGAGGATGAGAGTGTGTTTTATCACAGCGGGCACCTGTACGGTGCTTGCGGGTTACCAGCCTTTCCGTCCACACCACAGGTCTAGTCTCCACACGGGCGGGTTAGGTTATTATTCCCAGTTACGGGTGGGGGACTGAGGATCCAACGGGTGACACCTGTCAGAGTGCAGTAGCTGAATCTGGCCCTGGGTGTGGGCCACGCTCCGTGTAAGCAAAGGTGTATTTGAGTGAAAGTTGGAGGAAATTGTGACAGAATCATTTCTTTAATATTCCTTTTACTGTGAGCCCTTTTCAATAATAAATAAATAAGGCAGAGCAGAATGTCCAGTTACACCTGTGTGGCACACATTCCCCCCACCACTAATCCTGTGGCCTTTGTGAGGTCAGTGCATCTGACTGCCTGGGCGTCCAGCGTGGCTCAGCAGTTACGAGAGCCCACTCACGCACAGTGCTTGTTCTCCCGCCCCGGGTCCACCCCTACTGGCTGTGTGCTCTTGGCAAGGCACTAAACCTCTCTGTGCTCTGACTTTCTCGTTGTGAGTTGTAACTGATGATACTCGCTCTTCATCGGTGGCTGTAATGATGAAGTACATTAGCACATGAGGAGGAGGTGGCAGTGTCCGGCACGCAGTAATGAGAGATGGTGGTGGTGACTGTTTGCCAGGTCCCTTCTCCCTCTCCCTCCTTCCATCCCTGCAGCAGCGGATGTGCACAGGTGAATGAGACACACTCCCTGCCTCCGAGGAACTGCTGGTTCTCCACGAGCCTCAGTTTCCCCATCTGGCTCTGGGTGATGGCTTCGTCCCTTGAGGCTTACAGAGCACAGGCTGTCAGCCGGTCAGCCCCTGCTCTGGCACAGTGGGCTGGTTTTTGTAGTTCCCAGGTAGGCGGATACTCAGTGGGTTGCAGTGTTGCCTTGATGAGACAGCGGGGAGAGGGGCGTGCAGGGAGATGCACTGAGAGCAGTCACACCTTTGAGTGCGGTTGTCATGACGGGCGGGAGAACTGGCTGAGTGGAAAGAACATCGGGGGGGACGGTTTCATGGAAGGACCAGGGGGCTGGTTAAGTGAGGAAAGTGGCCAGTGGAGGCCTGTGGCTCCTGACCTGCCGCCCACGCTCTGCATCTGGTCTTCTTGGCCACCTGGGTGTCGGGGGATTTGTTTACGCGAGTGTCTTGTTTACTTAGCAATGGCGCCTCCTTCCGTATCTGGCAGCTGCCTACGCCCTGGACCACTTTTCCACATGGCTCTTCCTGGACCTGGTAGAGCTTCAGCAAGGCCTCCTGGTTAAAGACCCCAGTGCCAGGCAGGTGAGAGCTCACTGTCTCTTCTCCGCTGTGTTTATATTATTATTCAAATTGTACTGAGGCTGAACAGCAGAGATTCAGGCTTTCTTTCAAAACAAGGTGAGTCTGTTGATGTGTGGATGCAGCTCTGACGCACTCCTTCCCTGTGTCCACCCGCTTGGACTCCCGGAAGCCTGGCTGTGATGTGAACAGGGTGGCACGTGTCTGCATCCCTGTTTCTCAAGGGTGTGCTGACAGGACTTCTAATTCCAGGCTGTGAGTTCAGCTGTTGTTCTCCTTTTGAGAACATGATGGTTTTGCAAAATCCACATTACTGGCCCCACAGTAGATTTCATGGCTTGATCCTTTCACAAACAACCCTACAAAGGTCTGAGTCCAGCTGACTGCATTTGAGTTGACAGTTAAGGATTTGTGCCAGAAATGAGCGTGCAAATCCATTGAGATCAGCCACTATGTAAAAAGAAGTCCTTTGCTAATTTCCGTGTGGATGGTTTACGAATTGATTTTCCATAGCCCCTCGCGCTGCCTCCTGGGCAGGAGCGAAACGTGAGTCACAGGAAATGCATTTGAAAACAGATGAGAAATGTTGCAGATTGGGGTTGTGTACAACACCCTAAAAAGCCTGTATCCCATTAGCGCGTTTTGGACTATTTTAGCATAAACAGGAGTCAAGTGTTGGTAGACAACATGGGGATGGCCAGCAGGGTGAACTGCTGAGCAAAACGGGTCGCCCCAGTCTACCAGGGACCCTTCTTCCGGAGCGAAGAGGTTAAATGTGTTTTTCCCCCTCGTGTGAGTCACTGAAACTTTTGCCAGCTGACATTGGAGTTGTTCTCCTGCTAATAATGTTACAAAGTTTAATCATGCTTTATTTTTGCTGAAACTCAGTGGTTTAACCCAGGTATAGTAGGACCTAAAAGTAGCCCTTATTTGGAGTTGAAAACACTGGTAAAATGGATCATCTTATTTAGCAGGTGTATGTGCATCTCTTTCTCTTAATGGTTTTTATTAAATGTCAAGTAGAAGCAAAAGGACGTTTATAAGACGTGTAAGGCCCAGGGCGCTGGAGGGAGAGCCCCTCGGGGAGTGGACTAGGAATGGCCCCCGACTTCACAGTCTCCTGGGACCCGTCCCTGCATCCCTCCTTAGGGGAGCAGTGTCTCAACGTTGTGTGTGATCTCTTGCTTCTCCGTATAGTCTCACCACAAACTAGTGGGACCTTAGCACATTGCTTGGTTTCACGCTTGTGAACTTCATATAAACTGAATCATACTGTATATTCTTCTGCGGTTTGCTTCTACCATCAGCCCGATGGCTATGAGTTTTATTTGCTGTACAAGCTGTGGTCCATTTGTTTCATTGCTGTGAAATTGTATGAGTGTACCACAATGTATCCATTCTTAGATGAATCCTTTTTTTAAGCTAAAATTGGGTTTCCTTTTCCCATAGTTGTTGGGTATCCTGGATTAGATTGGAGGACACAGGCCTCTGACGCTAGGGTTGAACTGACCCCTGACCTCTGGTGTCACAGCCTCTTTTCACCTGTTCTTGTTGGATTCCCTCTCCCAAGGCAGAGCTCGGCCGTGAGATCCACGCCTTGGCATCCGCTGGCAAGCCCCTGGCCTCATGGACTGCCCAGCAGGGAATTCAGGAATGCAGAGAGGCATGCGGAGGACACGGCTATCTGGCCAGTAGGTTTTGGAGAAGCACGTAACAGTTTCCTGTCCTTACCCCTACCCTTGACTCAAGACCAGGGGTCAGCAAACTATGGCTGCCTGCTGCTTTTGTGAATAAAGCTTTATTGGAACACGGCCACATCCATTCATTTACGCATTTTTCTATGGCCGTGTTCATGCTGCAGTCACAGAGTTGAGTAGTTGCAACAGAGCCTAAAATATTTCCTGTCTGGCCTTTTCCAGAACATGTTTGCCAGCCCCTGCCTTAGACAGATCCCTCCGCTTTCTGATGCCCCTTGGTTCGTCGGTCGAAATCTGGGAATGATGTTGTAGGGTGCAGAAACTGCGAAGGAGCCCGCTGAAAACCAGAACGAAAAGTAGCTTGTTCATTTGAATTGTAAATTTCTGATTAGTGACTTGGCAGTAAACTGGCACCAAGTTTTGTTCTGATGAAAAATTCCTAAACTTAGAAAGAGAGAGCCCGTTTTTATTGGCATTGGCTGTTGTTTGGGCAGCTGGTGTATGGCTAAGGGAATGAGCACCCCGCAGCCGGGCCAGATCCTGGCTCTGCCCCTCACTAGCTGTGTAGCCGTGGGCAAACTCTCCAGCCCACTTGCCTCAGTTTCCTTCTCTATAAAATGGGGGTGACAATAGTGTACCACGACACAGGCTCTGGCTGTGAGGCGGTGAGTTAATACGCATGAAGTGCTCAGCACGGGGCCGGCATGTCACTTACCTGCCAGGCTTGCTGTGTGTGATCTTGTGTGACTGATTGGTGGTTACGCACAGATGGCCACAAATACATTCAGGACAACAGAACTGGTGGCAGGCTTACTGACGGGTTATGCCGACAGAAGCATTTTAGGCTCTTGCCGAGTTTGAGGCTCTCAGTGATGGGCTTTAGGTGACTGTGTCCTGTCAGTGAGCGTCTGTCCCAATTTCTGCTCGTGTGGGCAGCCGGCCAGCACTGTGGCCCCCCACCCTGGCTCCTCCGCCCTCTGTCTCTGACGTGTGGGTAACCATGGCTCTGCATCAGTTGCTCATTTACACATTTTGTTCTCCATGCAATGAATGCTCTTTGTAGTTTTTGTTTGTTGTGAGAACTCATAGCGACGCTGTAAATAGTTGAGAATAAGGAAGTTGATTCATGTGCCTCTGCAGACAACAAAAACGACTGAACCAAGAGTCATCACATATAAAACGCTGGGCTGAAACCAGCAAGACCGAACTCAGCAGGAGTAAACGTAAAGGCCTTCATCTAGGTTTAAGTATCAATTGCAAGTTATCTCTCCAAGGTCGCTCCCAGCTGTTCATGTCCAATGGCCTAACTATGGCATGGGCAGCGAGTCAGGGGAAAATGATCAGGGTGTTATAGGTGACCACAAGCCTTGAGGCCTCCACAGAACATCTCATACCCTCCCGGGCTCCGTTCCTGACAGTATGTGAGCTGGAGAAGTTAGAGTCCCAGCCCTTCCCCATCCCAGCGTCACATTCGGAGACCCTTCTTCATCACAGGGGAAGACCCAGATGATGAGGGTCTGGGAGGCATACCTTATAAAATATGCAGAGGAATTGGGTTCTTCAACTGGCAGGAGAGACCGCAAAAAGAAAAGGAGAGTTGTCTCCAGATATTTGAGATTTCTTGTGTAAAAAGAAGGATTCATTCAGTTGTAGAGGGAAGCAGGGTAGCCCCCTGGGCAGTCAGCCCCCCGAAGCATTCCATGTCTCTCAGTGACACCCTACCTTTCCCCAGGCAGCTTCTGCCAGGGCACCTTGTGGGGCTCGATGATGACGATGGGGATGCTGGTGACAGTGCCTCTTTCTCGAGTGCTCACTGCTTGCCAGCGCTGCCCCGAGTGTTTCACTGGGAGCCGCCACTGACCTTCCGGACAGCTTTCTTGGGTGGTTGCTGGTACATCTGGGAAGGTGGAGCCTGGGCTTCACAGAGGATGCGAGGGCGCGTGGCCACTTAAGAGGTGCAGCTGGACGTGAGCAGGGTGGGAAGTGCCTGGTCTGCTCAGGCGGGCCGAAGACTTGAGGTCCCAGATAGTGGTGAGGGTTTCTCACGAGCACCCTAAGTGATGAGAACGCCGTGCCTTCGTTGCAGTGAACCGGCTGGGCGACCTCCGAAATGACAACGATCCGAACTGCACGTATGAAGGTGACAACAACGTCCTGCTGCAGCAGACCAGCAGCTATCTGCTCAGCCTGCTGGCCCGCCGGGCCCAAGGTGAGCCCCACTGCTTGCTCGGCGGGTGGCCCCTAGGCCTCAAATGGGGAGCGGTTCTCTGGCCCCCGTGGCATTAGCTGTCCTGTCAAAATGTCCCGTGTTTCCAGGAGGAAAAACGTGTTCTTAAATGGTGATTGACCAACTTGGGAAATGGTCAGGTGGGGGAGGGTCGCCCCTCTGGGACAGCACTGTGGTTGGGGTCCCCTGGCTCCTCCAGCTCACTGGGTGTGCTCCTAGGTGGTGCTCGCTGTGAGAGCCCTCTGAAGAGTGTGGACTTTCTGGAAGCCTACCCCGACATCCTTGGCCGGAGGTTCGAGGTCCCCAGCCTTGAGGACTACTTGGACTCCTCAGGTGAATATGCTCCCTCCCTGTCCCTGCTTCCGTCACGACCCTGGGAGGTGCCCTGTGCCGAGGGGGGGCTTTGGTGGTTACGGCTGGGGCAACAGTGGCCTTGGAGACCCCTGGAGGCAGCGTGTGGGTTTGTCCCTTCATTCATTTTTTGAGCCATCCGTCGAGCATCTCCCTGTGCCTGACGCTGAGTTAGGCACTGACTCCAAAGATGAGACTCAGGGAGCCCACTTCCTGCCCTGGCTCTCCCTCTGCTAAGGATAAGGAGGGCGAGGCCTCTGGGGTCCCGTCTCTGCCTCGCTGGGTGCCTCAGCTCTCGCCCACCACCCCATGGCAGCCGTCATCACAGGAAGCTGGGGGCCGTCCTGCTCATGGTCCATACTGTCAGACATCTCTGGGCCTTTGCACGGGCCAGGCTTTTTATTCTGGTCATGGCCTCACCTCTCGTCCCTGCCCACCAGCAGCCCCCTGCCAGCTCTCTTCAAACTTCAGCTGCTCCAGCTCCCCGTGCCTCCCCCAGCCTGGTAACCCTCCAGCCCTCACCCCCCAGGCACCTCGTTGGCTGCCTCTCTCAGCGCCTGTCGCAGTCTCAGTTGCACTTGGCATTCTTGTCTCCCACTCAGCTCACTTTGGTGTGATTGTCTCCTGGCCCAGCACAGAGTTCACCCTGGGAAGTCTGCTGTGCTCTCTGGGGAGCAGCTGCAAGCCCCTTTCACCCCCACGGGATCATAGGAACGAGGGCCGGGCCCAGGAAGCAGAAGCATATTTCACGGCAAAACGTGCTTGGTCTTGGCCCTCAACTCTTCCTACGGAGAGTCCTGGCTCTCCGTTGTTCCTGCATTAACTCTGCAGCTGTGCGTGGAGCACTTACCTGTGCAGCTCTTGCTGGGGCTGTGAAGGTGACTGAGACCTGTTCCCTGCTCTCACGGGGCTCTGTAGTCTAGATGGGGACAGACCACCCACGAGCATGTCAGGAGGCTGGTCAGAGGAACAGGAGCTCTGTGGCCCCTGCCAGGGGCTTGGCTGGTGGAGACAGCCTCTGAGGAAGTGGCCTGGCAGCTGAGGTCTCAGTGGAAGGAACGAGCCAGCCATGGGGGCATTGAGGGAAGGCTGTGAGCACTAGAGCACGAGTGTCATTCCAGGGCCAGGGAGATGCCAAGATGATTCTGAGCAAGACAGCAGCTGACTGGTTTGGATTTGTGTGGTTTGTTGTGACAATTCACGTTAAAATGTTACTCTGAAAAAAAGAGGCTACAGATGGAGGCGAGAGAGGATGGTGGCCTGGGCAGGACAGTGGTGGCCATGGAGAGGGGACAGATCAGAGCCTGGGCAGGATGGTGGTGGTGGCCATGGAGAGGGGACAGATCAGAGCCTGGGCAGGATGGTGGTGGTGGCCATGAGAAGGGACAGATCAGAGCCTGGGCAGGACAGTGGTGGCCATGGAGGAGGGACAGATCAGAGCCTGGGCAGGACAGTGGTGGCCGTGCAGGAGGGACAGATCAGAGCCTGGGCAGGACAGTGGTGGCCGTGGAGAGGGGACAGATCAGAGCCTGGGCAGGACAGTGGTGGCCGTAGAGAGGGGACAG